CTACTATGTCCAGAATCGAGAGTCAGTTTAGTGCTGCCCAATCCCTATCAGTTCCAGCTAGTCCCAGTCCCTCCATTCCTGGCCCACCTCCCGTGATGCCTTCTTATCTGCCCAGAGAGCCTTATGTCCCAGCACCTGAACACTATGATGGTGATCTGGGGACTTGTCAATCTTTTTTGCTTCAATGCTCCCTTGTTTTTGATCTACAGCCAACTGGGAGGGCTAGAGCTTGGGGTGTTGCTGTTTGGAGTGGCTCTCCATGGATTAACTCCTCCTATGCCAGTTTTGTGGCAGAGATGAAGAAAGTTTTTGACCACCCTGTTAAAGGTAAAGATGCCAGTCAAGGTCTATTGTCCCTTCGCCAAGGTGCCCGCAGTGTTGCTGAGTATTCGGTGGATTTCAGAACATTGGCAGCGGAATCAGACTGGAACGATGAGTCACTTCAGGGACTTTTAAGCGAAGCAGTGAAGGATGAGTTAGCTGTCAGAGATGAGTCAGACAGCTTGGATAGCTTAATTGCCTTAGCCATCAGGCTAGATAATCGCCTGCGGGAGCATCGTACGGAGAAAGCTGCCCATCCGGTACCTTCACCTTCCCAAGGTGGAGCCTGAACCCTCGCCCATATTGAGTGTGGTCGCCAGTAACCCTTCCTCCAGCTCCGAAGAGGAACCCATGCAGTTGGGCCGAAGCTGTCTCTCCCCAGCAGAACGGCTGCGGAGAGTTCGAGCAGGAGTGTGTATTTACTGTGGACAAGCAGGGCATTTCCTGGTTTCTTGTCCCCTGCGGTTAAAAGAGAAGACTCATTAGTAGCAGTCGGGGTTCTGGTGAGTCGACCCTCTGTCTCTTTGTTTCCCCGGACTCGTATTCAACTCGATGTTTAGTTTTTTAGTCTCCCTAATGTGTTACCGGGTTTGAAATGTACGGGGATCTGGACCCATCCCGATCTGGATCGGGACACTAAACAACCGCTACACAGGCACATGGCCAAACACAGGAGGGCCAACTCCTCAGAACAGGACTCAGTTGTTCACATACACCTCGGAGGCAAAACCCACTCCTTTGAGGACAACAATGTACACATTTTGGCCAGGGAAGACAGATGGTTTGAGAGAGGGGTAAAAGAAGCCATTTTTGTCAACCTGGAAAAACCATCACTCAACAGAGGAGGTGGACTCAGACACAACCTATCACCCACTTACAAAGCACTTTTAGGAACAATACCCAAAAGTTTCACCTCAGTTTCACACAACAAAGAGGCAGGTGACCAAAACCGTTCTGATGGGGACCACAACGACCCGTCAGACTCTTAACGACTGTTTACACTTTCACAGTTGACCCCAAGGCCCCACCTAACAGGGTCCACCCTGCTGAAATAGCTTTATTCTTTCTCACCTAGAGTATTTATTTGCTGTACTCCCCACCACCAGTTAGAACTGAAGAAGCCTCTTGGATTAAAGGTGAAACATCTTCTTTTAGAAAATTCACGTCCAGTTGCCTAACAGAACTTTATAAACTTGACCATGACCTGGATGACTGAGAATCTTCATAGACATGTTTCCACGCACTTTGGGATGGATACCCGCCACCTGGTGCGGGAGTACGAGAAAACTTCCAGAAAATTTGCAGACTACAGGAACCACCTGCGGTTTAATCTAAGGTGCAGACACCACAAGATAATCCCCACCAGCCTACGCCTCCTCTCAACAGTGAAAGGTCACAGGGCCGGGAACATCCTCCAGAAGGCACAATATTAGCAGCTTAATGAACGAGCCAGACAGGTTAATTTCACCATCGATGCCTTGAGGGTAAAACTCGACCAGATAAGAGAACAATTAACTATGCTACTTGTCCACGCACTTGGGATGGATAACTATCCAATGTCCAATGTCCAATCCAATTAACTATCCAATGTCATGGATGAGGTCTCAAAGTTTGCTGAGAAGGCCCATATGTTCCAACATAACAAAGGTAAGGAACGACAAAAACATAAATCCCTTATCCTCCAGTCCAGTCTGTCTGTCCAGTCCAGACAGACCACCGCTGCGGAATCGACACGAAACATCAGAGATGCCAACGCTACACGGCGGGCTCCCAGGAGAATTGGGTGAAGAATTTGTCTGACAGAATCCTCACCCAGCCAGAAAAGGACGTCCTGGACAGAGGACTGAACTTTGCGGTCGCTCCTGCACATATCCCCACCGTGGACCTCATAACAGCCCCCGAGACAGCCATCAGAAACAACCGTTTAAACACCACAGAAGCCGAACAGCTCAGGTTGAAGGTCACTGCGGCACTCTCCAGTGCTAAACCTCCCCCTTCAAACCTGTCCCTCCCTGAGAGAAAATCACTGGCAGCACTCCAAAAAGACCCAGACGTCACCATCCTTCCAGCAGACAAAGGTAGGTGCACAGTTGTTTCA